CGGGAAAAAAGCTTAAACTCTTAAATTCCTATGTAGAACAAACGAATGTGAAATAACACACCGAAGGCTTGAGGGTCGAACTCGTTAGATCTATAATTAGTTGTCGTCGCCGCGGTCGCTCGATAGACTTCCATTATTCCCATCGAAAGGGCAGGCAGCTTGGATGTCGGAGCGGGAAAGGACGGTGTATTGCTGGAAATAGCATCGGACAAGTGCGGTGAGATATGAGGGCGCACCTGGCTGGTGCACTCGGCGACTTCACCTAGTGACGGTGACGGTGACGACGACGACGATGACGACGACGATGGTGGCAGCGCGATCTGTCGTCGGGTCGCGTACTATTCTCAAGGAATAGCTGTCCTAGAAACGAGACGGCGTGATCAGGCGCGACTGTCTGACCAGTCTCACCAATCTAACGCGTAGTTGATCGGAACAGCTGGCCGACAGCGATGGACGACGTTTCGGAGTAGCGTGGCTGAGCGTGGCTGAGCGTGGCTGAGCGTGGCGCTTCACTCAATCGCCACAGTGATCAGAATCATCAGAATTCAATGACGTTGCGGAAATCTGCTGCGCATCGAGAATGCGAGAGAGATTCACGGGATTGCCACAGTGTTCCCTAATCCGTCGTGACACTCGACCGATGGGGAATCGATAGAAAAGCGATCTTACAACCTATACGCTGCGAATGTTTTGCTTCTCGGGCATCTAACCTACTTCATGGACACGGTGTTTGAGTGATAACCCTCGGCGTATGTGAATGGGGCTAGCCAATATCGGGACTATCGCCGCGATACGATGACTTCATCGCTCGGCACTTCCTCGTTCCTCGACATTTGCCAATATCGTCCGTGACGTGATATCTACGAGATATATTCTGGCACGCGAGCAGTCGCGTACTTAATTGTCACGGCCACGAGGATATCTCCGGAGGCGACGGCTCGATCCTCCGGTTGATCCTCTTCGATTTCACGACGCGACCGCGAAGATGCTCCAGCGACGAAATCGCGGCAGAAGACGTGTTCTCGCTGTGACGTACCGTATTATTAGCAGGCAAAATGAACTCGCTGCTGAAGATGTCCATAATGGGCAACAAGAGAAACCTGTTGGTCCGAGACTCTCTACAGAAACAGCTCAATACGAGTGTTATGGAAATGCAGAGCGCCCCGGGGGTCACCGACGACGGCGTAGTCGGCAACTGCGACGAGACCATGACCCTCTGTTCCGTCCTGGAAGCTATATTTCTGCACGGCTTGAAGGACAGCCTGCTGAATCGAGTGACGGAAGTTCTCAGTGGTCCCGACTTCGACGCTATGCCACAGCCAAGCTTCTGGGGTCCACTCTTAGTCTTCTCACATCGTCAGATTATAGATCAGATACAAACATTGAGCCAAATCACCACGGAAGTCGGATACTGTCGAGCATGGATACGTATAGCGCTGAACGAGGGTATGTTAGCTAGCTACTTTTGCGCTATAAGGAGAGATAATTCGGCCTTAAAACCATATTACAATCGTTCAGCTTACATCAGGGATGTAGACCTCGTCGAAGTTGCGCAGAGATTAATAGAAAACTTGGATTATGTACGATTCGAATTGGCTTGCAACAGTAGCCTCTTGAACTTTTGGTCCTCCACTCCTCTACTTATAGCTGGCATCTGGTCCCCACCGATGAAATCTTGTCCTGTGTTTAGCGCTGTAGATATAGCGAAAACGATAAACAGCGAAACGACCGATAATTTTGATGAAGTAGAAACTGCAAGTTCCATCGGTAGTTCCATCGGAATAGGATCTTTCACTTCCTCGCAATCTGTGTTTAATAACGTAGCATCTATTACAGAAGACGAGGCATTGAAAATTATTTTGACCGAAGAAAAATCTAATAGCGTTGTTCAACAATTGCACAATAATCCTGTGGATGCTGTAACAAGTAGCCTACAAGAAAACAATGTCGCTCAACAATTATACAGTGATTTTGCTGTAAAGAACTCGGAAGAAGACGTCAAGCAAGAGATCAAGGAGATACAACAAATGTCAAATGGCTATGCAGAAAATACAGATAATATTGTTGATGCGGAGAACTCGCTACAAGATACTTTAAAAGACGAAATCGTTAATGATACTAATGCGGCTACTGTGGGAAATTCTTTAATAAGAAAGTTAGGATGGTCAACATCGATTGAGGATTGTCAGTCTTCTTTAACTTCACCTGTGATATCCCACGGATCAGGCACGGATGCACCTCGTACACCTGGCGAGGGTCCTACATACGATGCACTCATTCAAAGTTACCAAACTGGAAATAGCACGGTAACAGATCTGCAAGAATTTCTAAACAAGTACCCAAAGAAAGAAACTGTTGAAGAAGGATCCACAAAGGCTCAGCCAGAATCAAAGGTACGTTCCTAATAGAAAATAATTAGAAACGCAATTTTAAAATGCACTTTGATTATAATTCAACTTAATTAATTTTTATATTTCAGGCTGTGGTGAATTTCGACGAGCAGTTAGGTAATATTCCAAGAGAAAAAGGTTTAGATGTGCAAAATTACGGTTGTTTTGATTGCGGTTATGCAATTGGCATGACCTTCTCTAAAGCGCATGTATGTGCGTACTCGGGCGATTACTACTGTTCAAAGTGCATGGCAGAGGGGCAATATCTCATACCGTCACGTATGATTCATAATTGGGACTTGAAACAATACTTCATTAGCCGAAAAGCCGCTTCGTATCTGGAAGGCAAGCCGGCTCTGTTGGATATAAAGATCTTAAATCCGAAGATTTACATGGCAGTGGATACTATGGCACAATTGCAGTCATTACGGATTCAGTTGAATCTGTTGAGAGCATATCTATTCACATGTCGCGAACCCATTATTGAATCCTTACAGAAAAAGGTCACACCGAGAGATTATTTGTACGAACATGTTCATCAATATTCCGTTTCCGATCTTCTGGACATACCCAATGGAATTCTCGCACAGCAACTTCAAAGGATTGTTGAATTCGCAAGGCATCATGTAATAAATTGTTGGCTTTGTAGTCAGAAGGGCTTTATATGTGAAGTGTGTAATGATACAAAAGTCATTTATCCTTTTGATATGGAGTCTACATTTCGGGTAAGAAAATATATCGCTTTTTTTGTTATCTATGTTTTCCTTTTTTAATATTTAATTTTACAACAATTTATTTATTTAGTGTGGAGCGTGTAACGCCGTATTTCATGCAAACTGTTTAAATGCCAGTAAACCGTGCCCGAAATGCGAACGCAGACGTAAACGAATGGATATGCCTCTTTTGGATATGGGATGTACAGATCTACCTAACAGCAATATGTCGTCGGTTCCCATTGATATGAATTAATATATATCGTTGATTTGTTAATATTTTATTATACAGTATTGTTTGCATTCCGAAAAAAATTAATTTTGCCACGCATATTCTTGTAATCATGAATTTTGACGCCCAATATTTTCATGTAAATAATTGTATCATGCGCATAAAACTATATGGAAATGTAACATATTTTTTGTCAGCTCTTCTCGAATGTATATTGTTATTATAAACTTATATATATTCTGATATAATTAAAAAAATATTTGTACCTTTCGAGACTGGCAGCTTTCCGTACAAAACACATATTATATAATAGAGACATTTATTATAATTATATGTACAAAAGTAGTAAAATATATGAATCATTCATGACCCTCTTATCGCTATTTATTATATTTAATACTGTTGCTCTATTTATGTAATTTAATAAATTGACATGCTTTATATGATTGAATTTACTTGATACGTTTGTACCTTGTGGCACATTTTTTGAAAATACATTTTGAATATACAAAAATTTTAGGTTTATATAGGTTTATATTGCAACTAACAATCTTTTCCCCAGTGACATTTATAATAGATATACAATATAAATTGTGTGTATAAATGTAATCGAATTTTCTAATCTATTCTGTGAGGCACATTATTTTCGATAAATAGCCTTATTTCATTTTTATGGTCATAAACTGTAAAATTAGAGATCTTTCTATACATATTTTTTCTTTTCATTAATATTTTCATTTATATATAAAAATATCTTTGTACAGATATTACACATAAAATTCACAAAGATAAAATTACTTTCCAGGTACCTATGTGATTAATATGTTTTAAATGTAATCTAATAATAATGAAAATAATCATTTGTATGCTAGTTAAATTGTGATTGCGATAAAATGAAAAATCATGCCATTAATTTTAAAATTACTCCATTCTAAATTTGTTGGTTATAAAAAATACGTTTCTTTATGTTGAACAATATTTGGCAACAATATAAATGTCTCAAACTTGCAATCACGTTAAAAACATTTAAATTTAGAATTATCGAAAAAAAGTTCTTTAATTATAGTCAATATTATATAGATTGCAATTCTTGATTTATATGTTTGCATATATTATTATATTATGTTATAAATATATCAATTTCTGCTGGAGTTTACTTTGCCAAATAATATCTATATATTAAAAGTTCAGTAGTCTATTTTATAAAATTATACTAATAATATTGGAACTACTTAGAATTGATACAAAAGAATATTGTAAGGAATAATGAAATTTTTCTACCAATATATACGTATTTTTACCATAGTGAACGAGATCGGAGTATGTTAGTGTATAGTATATACAAATAACATTATATATCATTATTAATCCTACATTGATATACATTGACGGTAGCCTAATGTCATTTTTGTAATTTGTATAAAGTGGTGCTAATGTGCAGGATTTAAAAAAGTCTAAAATTTTTATCTGATAAGAAAAAATGTCATGTAAATAATACTAATCATTCTTACAAATATTTGTACTATCTCCGAGACGGCAAACTTGAAATATTGTCATACTAATGATAATATTGTAGTTTTGTCGTTCCTACGTTTTGATTCTTAAAGTACTCTAATACGAGTTTTTAATTCATTAATTTCTATATTGATAATCCTTCCCGAGCAGTTAATGCAAAGTCTTAGGAAAATATGCGGAAGGTAAAATGGGTTTATCAGACAATCCTGCTCGTCTTAATCCGCCCTGTAAACCAACGCTTGCAGTTTTCACTTTTGTACCATTCGAGATCACCGCTGGACCATTGTTATTCTCGATTATAGCCGGTGCAGAGGTTGAGGCTGCTGGATTTCCCGGTATTTTATTCAACGAATTGAAACGCTCCATAGGTGTGCTAGTACTCGAAATTAAAGGGCTCTTATTGAAGGTGGTTAATCCTACCGAACTTTCTGTTACACCGACACCCATCGACCGGGCTGTCGTGCGAGTGGTCTGATTAATGTTCGGATTTTGCACGATCGGATTTTTCATCGGTAATCCCGATAATGTATTAGGCTGTATTGTACTGGGTGCAGGCGTGCGTGTTTCATATCGATTAGGAAATAATTTATTTGTTCTGGGTAACGTCAATGGAACGGAGGATGGTATCGTAATTGGAGCTGGAGTAGCAGCACTTTGTAATGGCGATTGATTGTCTGCTAATCTCCGATTCAGCCAACTAATTACTGCAAAAAGATAAGAACATCAAAGTATTAATTTTGTGAATTATTTATAAACATTTTTATTAACAAAGACATTTATTAAAATGAGATATTCTTACCATTATCATTATTTTTTATAATCTTTTCTTTTTCTTCCAATTGATGTTGCAATGTTTTTATCTGTTCTTTTAAATTGTCTATTTCACTTTTTGCATCTTTCGCGTCTTTGACAAGACCTTCCATTTTTATTTCCAATTGGCCAACTTCTTTCTGTTTGCTGTCTAACAACCTTTCCTGTTCGAGCGCTATGCTCGTTCTTAATTTTAACTTGGACTTGGTTGATGCAAGTTCATTTTGTAATTTAGTTAAGATTTCATTGGCTTTTACTAACTCGTCACTTAAACTTTTTAAGGAATTTTGCTTGCGTTGCAATTGACTGTCTCTCTCAGTTAAGAGATCCTCTAAATGCTGTTTTTGTTCTTTACCTGTTTTTAACATTTCCATGTGCTTGTTAATGATTACCGTTTTGTCTTTTAATTCTTGTTCAAGCACAGCTACCTTCGTACGCAAACTATTGACAGCTTGATCTCTGTCATGGTAATCTACATCTAATTTTGAATTTTGCTTTCTGAGTAACGCCAAATCTCGTTCAACGATATTAAGTTGCTTCTCGAGAGTCTGTAATTGTTTTACTTGCTCTGTATTTGTAGCTTCTAAAAAGGATTGTTTATCTTTGTATGTCATGTTTTGTGTTCGTAATTCAGCAAGTTCTGTGTGTAACTGTTTCATAGTTTCAGCATGCCTCTGTTCAATTTCCATTTTTTCTTTTTCACTTTGCCGTTGCCATTCTAGTCGTGCTTGTGCTAATCTAAAAGATATTAGCATAATTATTAATATTTATCAAATAATTCAAATAATTTCAAACAGAAAAACAAAATACTCGTTCCAATATCATCCATTTGTTATTCTAAAGATTCAAGTATTTTGCTATTATAAAATCAATATTATATTTATCATTAATTACAATATGACTTGTACTACGTACCTGTCTTTTTCTATACTAATTTGCTGCGATGAATTAAATTGTATCTGGTTCTTTTCAGTTAAATATTTTTGTTCCAGCTGCTCCAACTCTTTTGTTTTTGTTTCCAGCTTGCCTGTTAAATCGTTTAATGTAGTTTCTAAACTAATTGCATCCCTACTTTGTTTCGAAATACTCTCTTTCAGATGCTTAATCTTCATTGCCATGTGTGTTTTCAAATCCGAATCACTTGCGGGTGATATATTTAAACTTAGATGACAAAGATGTTTAAAATTATTCGTTTCTACAAGCTTAAAATTCCAATCTCCAGACTCCTCTGCCAACAATAGGAGGAACTTTGGTGGAGTTTTTGACAGTTGACTCGTCCCTGGAACCTGACATTGCTCCAATAAGCATATCAATTGAGTGGCAAAATTATCAAAGTCAACTAGCAGTCCCTGCTGCGCTTTCAACACCTTAAAGTCATCTTCGGTGATGAATAGAGAATAGAGAAAACATGAATCATCATCATCAGACAGCATCACACACAGACTCTGAAACAAAAAGATATATAAAAAAATATATTTTATATAGCAAGACTCAGCAAAGAATAGGATATTGATAAAAACTATAACTAACTTATAGATGATTATTCTTATTTCAAGATTATCATTAGTAATGTCTTAAGATGCTAATATGATAATAACATCTTTGGCCAATTCATGGATGATTTTTAAATTTAAGATTATCTCAAGTACCGTCTTAAAATGTTATGAACCGATCAGAGGGCTGTGTATTACTATTTTAAAACATTACTTAAGACAACATTATAGATCTTAAAATAATGGATTATACAAATATGAATATCGTCAAGAGAGTAGTCTCTAAAGACGTTACTTAAGACAGTTTTAAATATAAGAACCAACTATCGGACTGTAGGCGTTCATCGAGTACAGAAAATTAAAAGAGAAAAACGTAGTTAACATCCATCCCAATGAAGCCGTCTTACTTGAACGTTTTTTGGCAAGACTTGGAAAGTTACCTTGCGGCAAACCGGACTGATGCCAGCGTGAATCTCGACATTGATTCTGAGATCCCGCTGGCGCTCCTCCTTATGCTGTGGCTTGACGTAAATCCTTTGCACCTTCGTGTAGAGAACATCGACATTGTTTAACTGCAAGCCCGAGTCGGCGGTGATCGTGCCGCCTGCTAAACTGTTGAGATAGTTCATCGTTCGATCGCGCTCTCGGCAAGCACTTGTTGATCTCGCGTTGCTCGCCGCGTTTCATTTGTCGAGTTGCGGGAAATACGGCCGAAACGCGCTCAAACGTATATACGATATTTACGAGCCGCTTCGCTCAGCTCACATTGAACGAGACGCAAATAAACGCACGCGTATCAGAGACGCGTATACGCGGCGCTTGGTGCCGCCATCTTGACGGCACGCGTTATTACTAACTTCACTCCTGACCAGTCGAAACAAGTCGAAGCAAGTCGAAGCGAGAATTTCGGCCTTTCGGAATCGACATCGTCTTTTTTACTATCCTCGGAACTTGTAACATGAGCGAGCGTAACGATTATATAAAAGCTTGTAATCCAATTGTGCAAGACACGACGTAAAAGACATCGCAAAGGTATCAATCAAGATTTATTCCCTTGTTTCAATTTATTTCTGTCCGTTGAAATCATCATGATACACAGAGTTAGATTTGAGCAATTTATCATTCCTATTCCAATGTAGATTAATTATTTGAATCTCGATTTAATTCACTCTTCATGTATAGATTTGTTTAGGTATAGGTTGCTTGAAATCGTGAAAAATTTTTACTTTTAAAAGGTGATAAATATATTTGAGCGTTGAAAAGAGAAAAAACGAAGATGTTGAATAAATAAAAAGAATAAGCAACGCGAATAAATCTCTTTTAAAAAGAAATCAAAAATAGGTTAAATTAACTTAATTAATCTACATTGATAGAACAATATTGTTATTTAATTCAAATAATTATTATTATTTTCACCAACACGGACTAACTTTAATCTTAGTTGAATTTATTCTATTTTTTTCTAGTTCTATAAGAAAAAAAAAGATAAAAAGTTGTATCAAGATTAAAGCAATTATAATCTACATTAGTGTAAATGGGCATCGTCGTCTAAAATCGAAAATTTATTGAAAAAAAACTTTGTTTATAGATAGATGAATAAGTATTTAGCTATTATTAGCACTACGAAATAACAAATAACTTTATCAACTTTAAAAATCGATCTTGCTTCTTCACCCAATTCACGAAATTTCATTAGAATGTCTAAATAATTAAACAGCAATTTAAATTCAAACGCGATTAGTGCGATAATTAAAATTAACGGAACAAGATTTTTGGGCACGAAATTTCGAACGGAGATCGTCATTGTCGGCGCTCGCTTTTGTTCAAGTATCGGCGCCAACGAAACGAACGATCGGTTGAAGAATTGCGTCCTGCTATTCGCAGTTGAGTTTCGGCGCGCGACGGCAACCGAGCACTTTGCCTTTCCCGCGCGATTCTGTGAGCGCGCGTCCGATTGGCCGGCGGCCGCCGCGGTGGCCAATGAGCGGTTTGACCGAGACGGTGACGTAGCGTTTAAAGCGCCGTACGGTCTGAGTTGCCGCGGTCGCCATGCCATGCGGCTGTCTTGCGATTGACAGGCTCGTTTACGTGGTGTGATCGCGCAACTCCGCTCTGACGACGGGTAAAACGATCACAGTCGTCTTTGACGCATGTCGACGGACGGCGTTGCCGTGGAAGTGTACGCGTGTGTTGTTGCTCGATATACACGCGACGTGAATTCGTCGTGAATCTTTTGGCGACGAAGCTCCCGCGTCCTGGCAACGGTTGGCGGTTGGATACGGCGATTGCAGTTCGAACGTAATGTCAGTGGAACAACGCGGAAGTGAAGATGTAAGTATTTTGTTTGTATGTTTGCATTGTTTTATGCATACGACATGACCGGTGATTTTCTCCCATTCTCTCGTTCGATTGTCGCTGGAAAAGCAGAAATTGCCATTTCGATGCGAATTAAGCCGCGTGTTCCGCAACACGTCGACCGGTGGTGCTCGTAGCGCCTTTTCGGATTATCCTTCTCGGAGTTGCCACGCGATACCTGCTGCCCTCAAACGGCGATTCCGAAAGTTGCTGATTTATTTTTTTTCAGCTAACCGCGGCTACATAGAGACTTTTTTATGATTACTATTGTACTACTAATTCGACAAGGAATATTTTAACTTTTTTTCAAATCGATATTGTTTATGTAAAAACTATTAATTATTGCATTTAATTAATTATTGGCAGATATTAATTAATAATACATATCTACACATTGTACAAGAAAATTTACGCTAATAAAATATATATTAAAAATTTTAATACATCATTTATATTTGAATATTAACTAAGTATTTACTAAATATAAAGATATATTTATCTGACAACATATAAGAATCATCAATTTGATTTAACTATTTTTTTATAAATTAAAAATTCCTAGATAGAGCAACATGTTTGTCTTATTGGCATGTTGCTCGCAAACAAATATGTGTTGCTATTCGAATTGTGTAGTAACAAGTCCGCATTTGTTGGCAAGTTGATGCCTTCATGATATAAGAACTTTAAGTAATTTACCATTGCAGCAACTTATCGATAATTTAAAAGTCTTGGTCATTAAAATTCATGCTGTGCAGCAGCATATTGTCATATAATAATGTTTTATACAGAATTGCCACAAAACTGAAAAGCATGGAAGTGTCGAGGAAATTGATAATGGGAAATCAGGGAAAAGTCAGGAAGTTTTGCAAAATTTTCTGGAAAATAAAAATTCTTGGCTTTTAAAAAAGTAAATATGAGTACGTCACACATACGTAATTTTGGAATACTATCAATTTAATTTAATTAAATGCAAGTAATATCAGCAACATTAATGATAATTTTCATTGTTAAGTTCAATTGCTCTCTCAACAAAATATTTGACGATTTTCAAATCAAGAACTACAAAAAACGAAACTACAAAAAATTTTTAAATATTGAAAATATCAAGGAAAATTGGAAGGATGAAATTTTATCTGAAAATCAAGCAAAAAATTATAGAATTGTAGGATAAGGAATTTGTGGCAACCTTGTAATAATCTGTAGGATTACATAATTCTATCATATTGCTGATAAAGCGAGGTAACTTTGATGCTGCTATCTTGACATTAAACTACTAGCAATACATATGTATTGTATATTATTGTCTGTGCGTTACTGCAATGTCAGTATATATTCGAAATCGTTGAAGACAAATATACGGCAAGTTGCCAGCATAATAAGCAATTACAGATTTGCATGATTTTGCTGAAACATGCTTGATTATTTGAATTTGTTAACTAAGTAAATATGTATAGAGGGTACTATTCAAATAAATATTTATCGAAATTTAGTATATTTTTCTCAGCGTACACTGAAGAAAAGTTTAAGTAACCTTAATACATATTTCTTTGGATAATCTAAGTAAACATTTACTTATAAGAAACAGATATTTATTAAGTAAAAAAAAAATTGGGAATTAAATCAAAGTGCACATTTTTGTGATATTTTTTTCGTGCTTGCCGCAAATAAATAAGATCATACTATATATATATATGTGTCACGATGCACACGCAAGATTGGATCACTAAAGGAAAGGGATGTAATCATTCCGCGCGCCTGTGCACGCACATCCGCGTTATCGTCGACTTCCACGAAATAAAAAGAGAAGAAAAAAGGGAAACAAAGTCCTCGTTCCCCGACGACTCGCTGGAGAACGTTCTCCGAAAAAATCCATTTAGATTTTTCTGGAATTTAGAATAAGCTTGTTCTAACGTCCTGAACATATATATTATATATGCTTTAAAACTCAATACCCGGAGCGGGATTAAAAGTCGAAATATTCCACTTCAAAGTTCAAGCATTTAAAAAAAATATATACACACACACACACACACATAATATGTATACATATATACATAGGATCCCTATCTAAAGCTTATTCGAAAGTGGCCTTTTTATTCACTGTAAAAAAGTTTTTTTTAACAATTTTTTGAAACAATGAAATATAAAAAAACTTGATATCATAAGGAATAATATGAAATTTGTCTGAATGGCTGTCGGTATTCATTTTTAAGAAATCATTAAACAAATTAAGTAACACAGTAAGTAAAGTCACTATTTTTTCAACTGGCAACCATAGCGGGAGGCATTTTATAAAAAAACTTGTATACAACACATTTATAAGTAATGGAAAATTGAAATAATACATAAAAAATATAAAATAATAATAATACATGTTAGGGGCACAAATGGTAAAAAGAAAGAAAGAGAAGAGAAAAAATTAATTAAATCTAAAAGTCTTTATTTCTACGCCTTAACACTTTTTAAACACATTAACACTTATGGAATATCTTATACTATATAAAAGTGAAATAAATTTCCATAAAAATTTTCATAATGATGAGCACTAATGTGCTCATTAGGTTCAGCACAACTGCAGTCGGAGAACGACCTGAAGGCATTTTCATAAAAGACAGCTGAATACACTAATATCGAACAGGAAGCCGATATCGCGGCTTCAAGGCAAGGGGGAAACAATAATGCGACGGGAGTATTACAATCGGACGCACGTATTCGCAACAATCACTTTCCTTATACACAGCCGCCTTTCGCATAGCGGCCAAGAGGTCAGTGCACTCCTAGAATCTTACCGTCGTTGGCGTCGCGCGATTCGCAATTCGCGAACAGCTAACGCGATATGCGCATGCGTGCATCCGGTGCAATATTTTTCGCGACCGCGTAGCCGTAGGAAATCCCGTGTGCGTGTTACGCGAAAATAGACGTAATCGTTCTCGTTTCTGCGATCTCGTTGCCAGTCGAATCGCACAGCTGGGACTCTGACTCTCACGTAATCGCGAGAGCGCGAAACGTATCCCCAGGTCTGGCCGGTTATAGGGAATTCGACATTCTACCTGTTTTGCCCTTTATATTCTTTCAAAAAAACACGCACTCGTTATGCTTTTACCGAGAACACTGTCAGGATTCTGCTAACTCTCTATAATTCATAAATTGATTCGTAATTTTCTTGTTCTCTTCTTCTTTTGTTGCGTGACTGCTGCCTGTAGGTACTTTCCGATATACGTGCGCGTTTGAAACAACCATTTGAAAGAGATCCCAACCTAAAGCATATTTGATAAAGTATCTGTCTATAATTATATATTTTACATACGTTTTGATAAAGGCGCAGAAATAAAGACTTTTAGATTTAATTAGTTTTTCTCTTTTCTCTCTTTCTTTTTACGTTTGTGTCCCTAACATGTATTATTATTATTTTAT